CTCTCTCTCTCTCTCTCTCTCTCTCTCTCTCTCTCTCTCTCTCTCTCTCTCTCTCTCTCTCTCTCTCTCTTTCTCTCGTTATCTCTTTATGTTTTTTTGTCTCTCTCTCTCTCTCTCTCTCTCTCTCTCTCTCTCTCTCTCTTTCAAACACAGACTGTACAGGTTGATTGCTCGATTGCCACTGGAAAAGTTTGAAATAGGTCGTTTTTCAGTACTGGCGTGGAAAGGTACGTTTTTCCCAAACCATCATGCGGTGTTGGGTCCTCGTTTTGTAAAGACAGCGCCCCGCGTCCCTCACTCTTCCTCCTCCCCTCCTCCGTCCTTTTTGCGTTTCACTGACCCAGTACAGCGCTTCGTGGCCCAATATGGAGCTCCACCGAAGGCCCCAAGTAATACCGCCCGCATGCGTCACGCACACCCATGTCAGCACACACTCCTCACACGTGTCGTTGCCCCACAAGGAGCTCCACCGAAGGCATCGCCGGCATGCGTCACGCACACATATTTCGGCACACACCACACAAGGCTCGTGGCCCTATAGGGAGCTCCACCGAAGGCCCCAAGTGCTACCGCACACCCATGTCGGCACACCCCTCACACGTTTCGTGGCCCCACAAAGAGCACCACCGACGGCCCCAATGCCACCGCCCGCATACGTCACGCACACCCAATTTCGGCACACCCCTTCACACGGTTCGTGGCCCCGAATGGAGTGTCACCTAAGGTCCCAGTGGCGCAGTCCGCATGGCGGCGCCGCTCCATTCGGCACACCCCTGACTCACACGAGTCGTGGCCCCATAGGGAGCTCCACCTAAGGTCCGAGTGGCGCCGTCCGCATAATGGTTACTCCACCGACGGCCCCAGTGGCTACGTTCGCATGCGCCCACCGCACCTATTTCGGCACACCCCTCACACGCTTCGTGGCCCCATAGGAATTCCACCGACAGCCCCAGTGGCTGCTTTCGCATGCGCCCACCACGTACTTGTTGGCACACCCTATCGTGGCCCTGTCGGGAGCTCCTCCGAATGCGTTGCATACAGCGACGGCACTCCCAACTGCATATGGTTGGGTCCTTCGCCAAGCTAATTCTTTGGACGTGCTCGAAATATTGGCATCAGACTAGGCCTGTTTGGCCTGGAGCAAGACAAATTCCGTACGCGTTGTTGACATGCGTGGACACTCTGAAACCGATACCGCTGCCACATTGGCTTCTTATTGTGTAAAACGATGCTCTGACAATGTATGCATAAATCGGCCTCATGCGTCTGCCGCTGAAACGCTCAGAACTCCGTGTCTCCATCGTCCCGGTCTTGATGGCGCTGCTGAATAAGATATGTGTTCGTCCTTACTGGTGGCGACCACGATGCATGGGGGCTCATAACCACTCCACGCGAGATGCACGGTAGCGTTGTCTTGGTTCCTGGGCCAGCGTGACCTAGTTTTGTCTGACAGCACACCTGCAGTTCCGAAACCCTCAGGCGTTCGATGAATGTCTGGTCGACAGCGGCAACGCGCCCGCCGCCTGCAAATCCGCCGCCCCCCGACCCCAGAGGCGAGGAAAAGTGAGTGCGCGTGCGCGCGCGCGTGTTAACAACCCCCGCACCGACATGGGAACAATGTTCTTCGAACCCCCCACCCGACAATTCCTGTCCTCGCACCGACTTTACAGCCCACCTGGTCCGACCCCCGCACCGTCACCTGGCCCGACCCCTGCACCGTCCTGGCCACTCTGTTATGGCCCCTTTCCCCACCCGACAATTCCTGCCACCGAACAGACCCGGCCGCCCACCTGGTCCGACCCCCGCACAGCAAACGAAACTCTTACTCTGGGGACCCCCCACCCGACAATTTCTCGCCCAGAACCGACCCTGCCAGCCATCTCGCCCGACGCCCGAGCCGCGCTCGGCGACCCCGTTCTTGGCAACTCTGTTCTCGGGGCCACCCACCCAACAATTCCTGCCCTCGAACAAGCCTTGCCGCCCACCTGGCCCGACCCCCGCATCGCCCTGGGCACTCTTTTCTGGTGCCCCACCTGGTCCGACGCACACGCAGCACTGTAAACTATCTTCGACGGACCTCCCACCCGACAAATTCTCGCCCCGAACCGACCCTGCCGCCCATCTCGCCCGACCCCCGCACCGCGCTTGGCGACCCTGCTCTGGGCCCCCACCAGCCAACGCCCTCGCCAATGGGAGCCGTGTTCTTGGGGGCCCGCACAATGCAATTTCTCGCCCAGGTCCGCCCCCTTTCCAGACCCCCAACACCCTCCCGCGCCCTGCAATCCGCCGACTCAAGAGGCGCGCGAGATTCAACTGCGCACCTATTGACGACCTCCCAAGCACATGTCCTCCGATGCAAAACTCTGTTTTAGCCTGGCATTCTGGCCCGACCTGGTCTGCCCCCCCCCCGCCCAGCCCGGGGGCTCTGTTCCTGAGCCCCCCCCACTTGCAATTCCGCGCCCATAACCGCCGGCCCTCGACCGGGCCTGCCCCGACCTGGTCCGCCACCGCCCCCCCCCCCCCCCCACGCAGCACGTCCTCGGCCCTGTTCTCCAGCCCCCCACCGGATGCTGCCGCCCAAAACCGCCCCACCGTCGACCTGGCCCGACCTTGTCCGCCACAGCACCCCCACCCACCCACCCACTACACCCACCACCCACCCGGCCGGGAATCCCACCAGCCTTTTAGGGCGTCGGTGGTTTAACGAGTTTCCTCTTCCACCCCCTTCTTCCCCTTCGGGGAGGGGTTTATACCCCTCCCCCTACCCCCTCCCCACTGACCTGGACAGGAGGGGCGGGGAGCGGTCAGAGCGTCCAAAAACGGCCTCGGCGAGGAAGCCAAAAACATTGATTCTACTATGGTTTTGGCCCCATTTTGGCCTTCTCAGGGGGCAACGCTAATAAAGGCCCCCCTCTTCTTTGATCGATTTCCTCCACGATGGCCGCAAGAGGCCCCCAGGATGCCCCAAGAGGCCGCAGGATGGCCCCAAGATGGCCCCAAGAGGCCCCCCAAGAGGCCCCCAAGAGGCCCCAAGATGGCCCCAAGAGGCCCCAAGAGGCCCCCAGGAGGCCCCAAAGAGGATCCCGAACGGCCCACAGAGGCCCCCCCGAGGCACCCAAGACGCCGAAAAGCCCCTCAGGACGACCCTCTACTCGCCTGGGCGTCGTTTCTGGACGGGCGGGTGGGGATACGCGAAGCGTCTGGAATTCCTGCTCTTCGGCCTCCCCCGCCCAAGAATTTCACGCCCAGAACCGCCCCGCCGTCGACCGGGCCCTACCTGGCCCGACCTCCCCCCGCCCCACCCACCCCGCCTGAGAGCTCTGTTCGCAAGCCCGCCCCCTGACAATCTCGCGCCCAAAACCGCCCTGCCGTCGACCTGGCGCGACCGCGTCCGCCCCCCGCCACCACCACCACCACCCGGCCCGGGAGCTCCCTTCTTCAGCCCCGCCACCCGACAACTTCGCTGTCCCCAACTACCGCGATGAACGCAACTGCGACCGACGACGCGACCACCTGAAACATCACGCGCACGACCAGCAGCACACACAGAAGCGCGGACCCCGTCTCACGCGCGGCGGCGCGACCACCATCACAACCGCCAAGAAAACACTCGGGGGCACGGTGGGTGGCGTCGCAAATTGAAAGCGTCATGCTGCAGAGACCACTCGCACCACCCACAACGCTACAAGCGTCGGACTACAACACCGCCAGCACCGCGGTCGGAGCAACGAAATGCGACCACGGATGCGCGGCTGTTGCACGTGCCCACGGTGTCAGTTCTTAGGCCCAAACAGCCGACAATGTCACGCCCGGAACCGCCCCGCCGTCGACCTGGCCCGACATCCGACGCCCAGACATGCGTTCCGGCGATTCGCCATCCACCGCCGCCACGCTCACTTGCCAGGCTTCGCTCTCGCAAGCACCTCCGCGCTGCTCGCGGAAAATATATTCCCTCCTCTCCCTGCTCTTCGCAGCACCCGTTGCAGCGCGCTGCTTCCCGTTCGGCGTCTTCACTGGCGGCCCGCTAACCCACTGGGTGAACTCGCCATTCCCTCCTGCACGTTTGCAACCGACGCGCTGCCACTGTCCGCGCGGGACTCGCGGGCACCCTACGCACACAATGCACTTGCGCGCTTTGTCACTGCGACGCCCCTCCACATCCACGGGGGGAACTTGCCCCTCCTTTCCTCGACCCCGCGCCCGACGCGCAGTCCGGGCCCCCCGCGCCCCTGGCGCGCACCATGCACTTGCGCCTTGCTGCCGCGACGCCCTCCACATACACGGGGAGAACTCTCCACCCTCCTTCTCGCGCCCGCGCGCGACGCGCAGCCGCGACTTCCTGCGCCGCGCTTCGGTAGCTGGTTCCATGCGCACGCGGGATTTCCGCCCCGCCGCGCCCCCTCGCGCTCCCGCGGTGAATGAACTCGCGGGCGCGCTGCTCCGGACCGCGCGCTACGCGCGAAAGAATGTGCGCCTCCTTGGCGCGCTGCTCCTGCTCATCTTCCCCCGCGCCCCTGCACTCGGCGCACGCGCGCGCATCGTTGCCGCGCTGGCGCTGGGGGCCCCCAGGGGACCTCGTCCTGCTCGCAGGCGAGAGCCTGTCACATGCTTCCTCAGCACTTCGCGCTCTGGGCACCCTCCCTTGCACCGGCCGCCCCCCTCCTCGCCGCCACTGATACGGCGCGAACTCACTACCGAATGTCCGCTCTTCGCATGCGCGACATGTCCGCCTCTCGGGGCCGTCGACGCAGCGCCGCGACAGCGGCTTCGAACTGCGGCGCTGGGGCGCGCGAAGGCACCCCGGCCCCTCCACAAACCGCGCCCCGCGCGCTGCCACGGCGCGCCAACGCTTCTTGCCTCGCAGGCACAGGCCACACACGCGGAGGCCGCCACCCCGACAAAACTGCCGAGGAGCACACCGGCGCTTGCACTTCACTGACGCGCACAGCGCGCGCCACCCCGAAGGCGCGAACTCTTTCTCGATAGCGCCCCAATCCAGCTTCTCCCCGCGCAGCGCGCGCATGGGCAGGTCGGGCACCCGGCGCTCTTGTCGCCTGCAAGCGCAATGTCAAAGGGACGGAATATGAGCATGTCTTCGCGACGCAGCACCCGCGCCAGCGCCGCGTAGCTTGCCGGCGGCGACTTGTCCCCTCCAGTCTTCACGTCGACTGCGACCCCCAGCTCGAATGTCTGGCCCTGCGCCGACTGGGCCGCGACGCCGAACGCCGGCGCCCAGAGGAACTGCGCGGGCACGGGCGGCCCTCGTCGACAAACCAATCTTTCTTCTGCGGCGCCACCGCACGCAGACCGGGCGCCTGCGCCCATGGAATCGCCCACCCGCGCGGGATTCGGGCCCCTTGGTCATCAAGACCCTCATCGAAGAATACAGATCTCACTTCCGGCGTCTCCTGCACAATCCTCTCACCGCCGCGCGTCACGCGACTGGCCCCTTCGCCGCCGCTACACGCCCACGAGTGCGCGTGCCCCGCCCGTCCGCGAAGAAGGCATGCCTTCCGCGATGGGCAGGAACCGACACAGGTCCCTGCTCTCCTTGTCGTCGCACTGCAAACAGGCCATCTTCTGCGGCGGAAAGTCCGGCCGCTCTCGGAGCGCGTCTGGCGTAGGAGCGTCGCGCGCAGGCACGTGGACCGCGGGCTCTTCGCGTGCGCGGGCGCGCTGCGCCGCCCGAAACGCGTAGACCTTGCGCGCTTGACGTCGCCGTTCGGGAACACCCCAGGGGCGCACCGCATGTCCTCCGCGCGCATTCGCGGGTCATCTGCCCCGTCGATGACGAGGCGGCGTCGTTCGCGTTCCTGCTGGCACGCCCAAAACTCCTGCCTTCGGATGTCGCACTACGCCAATCAACGAAGACGACGCGCCCCAACCAACGCCCCCCGCGAGCCCCCTCCGCCGTCGCGCAACGCCCTGCACCCCGCATTCCCCCACCGAGCCTCCCCGTTGAACCAACTCCCTGGCGCGCGCGCGCATCCCGCCCGCGCAGAGACGCGCGCACACCCTGCGCCAACGCTCCTCGGGGCGCCCCCCGGCCCAGGGACTCGCAGGGCCAACGCACGCCGCGAACGACGGCAGCGTGGCTACGAAATCCGAGAGGAGCTCCTCCGCCCGAAACCCTGAGCCACCGCGACCCGGAATGCCCCGCAAAGTGTCGACAACAGGAAACCACCCCCACGAACATGCAGGCTTCTGCAAGGGACCAAGAATGCGCCGCGAGAACATATGCTATTCCGAAATGAATATATGGAAGCCCTCCAGCTTCATCTCCACACGGAGCCACATCGGATTCACACAAGTCCCGAAGAAGTCGCCCTGCACCGATGCGCCGCACTCGAAAAAGTCCTCAAAATTGATGATTTCGTCCGTCCCCTGTGACACGCGGGCCAACAAGAACGCGCCCGCTTTGGGGTCCTCACGCACACTGTGTGACAAGGAATTCCGCACAATGAACATATGCACCAACAAGTTCGCGAGCTGCTGATGAAGCTCCTCCTCTGGGTGGACGCGCGCACGGTACTGCTGGCATGCCCACTGAGACGATAGCGAATCGTCACGGCACCGTGTGTTCACTCGTGCGAAGAGGCGCATGTCTTTCGAAGAAACTTGTTTTTGCCTCGCGCCCAAAGACGGGGACGATATGAGGTCCCACCTGCCGAACCACTCCACCATCGCAAAGACCCGTGCTTCGAAAGTATGGATCCCCCACCACTGCGGTTCGCCTATCCGCACAGACAGCGCGCCGACCTGTCGCGGCACTTTCAACCGAGGGCCAAAATCCACGCGCAGCATCTGGGCATCTGACACGATGGTCAAAAGGGCGTCGAAATCAATCCGGAGCCCACGCCCGCCCACCAAAAGGGAACCCTCCCAGTCCTCTGGCAGGTACTCTCTCTCGACGGCACAACAGCGCGGATCCGCGCGACAACATCATGTACACTTTTAGGGGTCAGGGACTCGGCAACCATCAATATCGTATCCACCGCTTTGTCGCAGCCCCGCAGCGACGCCGTCGAACTCCACGAGGCCCGCGCGGCTCGGTCGACCAGGCCCCTGGCCGTGACCGTTTTCCACTCGATGCAGCCCCCCTAAACTGCGCGTTTTCTTCTTGGGCCGCTCGGCGCGACGGAGCTGCCCGCAGCGCGGGCACTCCAATTCCCCGCGAGAGTGCTTCAATTCCAACGTTCCCTCCGCCGGGGCCCGCTTCCGCAGCTGCCATAAGCACCGGGGCTCGACGAAGCGGGCCACTGGCGCGTCAGCGACGTGCGCGACCGCGCCGCCTTCACGCGCAGCTCTGGACGACGCCGCCGCGGCCCCCGACGACACCGCTCCTCGGCCCAGGCCGCCTCGAAGGCGCGCCGCCAAGTGGAAGGTGGGGCCCTCGAGATCCCGCGCCGCGACAGAGCCGAGAACCCCGCGGCTACGGGCGCGCAGCAGCAGGCGGCGCAGCAGAAACCAGAGGGGCGGAGGGGGGGCCCCAGGAGAAGG